TGGTAGTAGTATGTTCGAGAAATCGCTGAGTACCTTGCATGAAAACCATCGGGAACCTGCTTGGAATACAACACAAGCACCGTACTTGGAAGTATAGTGTTTAGAACATACGCAAGCTTCCGCGGTGGAATTTTTGTTTCGTCCACAAAGAAGTTGACATACGAACGCTCTGCGTGAACCCCGCTATCTGTTCGTGCTGCTCCTGTGATGTGTATCCGCTTTGCATAAATATTTTTCAGCGCCTGTTCTATTGTCTCCTGGACTGTTGGAACAGCACTTTGTACTTGAAATCCATGGTACGGAGTTCCCTCATAGCTTATACAAAGCAGTATATTCATATTACTATGCTTCTAACTCAGTCTTCACAAGATCGAATAACTCTCGTACCTGAGATAAAAGCGCTGAGGGTTTTTCCTTGCTTGCCTTTCCTACACCAAACATATTACTTAATATAGCAAGTATTTTCTCTAACTCTTCTTTTCTCTCCTCTCCTCCAACAGATTTCGAATAGTAAAATTGCAGCCATGCATACATGTACACCGTTCCATCAAAGCCATAATCTTTATCTGTATCTGGCCCTATATTTTTGAGATTAGTAAATGCATCTTGACCATTTTGATAAAAAGCAAATACTTTTCTATAAAAAAATGCTGACTTACGATAGAAAATCCTCATCATGTCTTGAAACGTATCACCATAGCCACAACGAAAAAGAAGTTTTGCTATCCAAGCAATGCGCAGTGTTACAATAGCCAAACGAGCATCTGGGTAATTTTTTTCATGAAACTGGGAATAGGTTCCCAGCGCAAAGAGATAGGCACATAGCGCAGAAAGCAAACTGCGTTTTTTTGTAAAATCTGGAACTTGATTAAACAATGAAGAGGCGTATTGCATTCTCGCAGTACTAGCGTTATCTCTTCTTATGTTAACCAATGTAAGCTTGCTAAGTTTATCTATTCTTTCTCCTGCAAGGCAGCTAAAATAACATACGTTGCAGGTGATAACATTGTATATCATAGGTTGCATAGTCCCGTATTCCTGAGTCTGAATATACTGCCTGTGCAAATCAAGTTCTAACTGACCAGCATCCATCCTGCCCCTCCCCATTCTTAGCTCTTCCTTAAATATGTCTGCATCACATGCAGGGCAAGATATGGGGGTAGAAGAAAAGAAACTAGCGCCTTCTCTTATGTCGTCGCTACCTTTGCTGTTAAGGTCTATCATTTTATAGCATCCCTATAGAGTATTACTGTAGAAACAGCATACTCTTTTTCGTGAGAGATAGAAAGCAGACTGTGCTGCGCCCTGTTTTGCTTCATTGCCACTTGTGCTGTTCCCAGTAACTGTAAACTGGGCTTTCCGTGCTTATTCTTGCTAAGCACAATATCCTTTAACAGAACAGGAACGCCTAGGGCTTTTATGCATGCTTCTTTCGCAGCAAAAAAGCCTGCTAAACTAGCCACCGCTTGTATCTCTACTTTTGATAATAGCATGATCTCGTCTTTTGTAAAATATCTTTGCAATAGCCTTGGCTGCTCCAGCCACTTATTCATACGTGCTATCTTTACCAAATCAACGCCTATTCCTATTAGCATTGCGCGTGCTCTATGAAACAATAATTTTTATGCATTACTCAATATCTGTATTTACTGGCGACACTTGTGGCACCTGGTCATCATTTGAGTTATAATTATCATCTTCTATAGTTGCCGGAGGATTATCTACCTCAACATCGTCGGGGAATGTAATTGTTGTAAGTGTTGGAGATTCAGCCTGGCTTTGAACAATGTCTTCTATAAGTACATACAGCTCTGTAGGTTGAAGGGATGAGATTACAATATTATCCTCTTCCACAATTGTGGGCAGTAGCGTGTATTCTCCGGGGCTTGCTATACTTGAAGCATCTACATTAATGCTTGGGACGTACTGATCAATGCTTGCTCTGTCTCCACGTACGATAAGAGTAGCACGAGGTATGCTTGATGCTACAGAAAACCTAGAAGGGAGATTTTGCACTTCAATGAGAATGTTGTTTATAGTACGTACAGCAGTAAGCCGTTCTATCCTTACCAGCACTTCTACTTCATCTGGATCATATATTACTACTGAGGCATCGGGAATCTCTAAGCGAACTGTACTGGTAAAATCACTCGTCTCGTTTATTAAGTTTATGCCTTGGGTACTTACTTCACTCATACCTGAAACTATTGTGCGCGGACCTGTTACTCGAATAGTCTGCGGTTGCAATTCCCAGCCCTGTATATCGTAATCGAGTGGGGGTGTGTTAAAGAACACCGGACTCACATTAATGCTCCTAGATATTTTCTGCTCTAATATTCCCTCTATTGATACAGGATCTAGTTCAATCTCAATATCATTCATGCCTTGAAACACACCATTACGAATAACTTGTACTACTTCGGTGTATGTTCCGTCGTTGTCGTGCAAAGAAAAATCAACATTTGCAGAAATGTTTTCTGGGTTTAACTGGGCCAGGGATGCCCTGCTACCCTTAAGGAGAACAGAAATAGTTTTTGGTGGAGGTTCCACAAATGTTAATCCAGACCTTACTTTTGCAGAAAGAGGAATGAGAAAATATTTTTCGCCAGTATTGATTACTAAAGAGTAGAAAAAATAAAGCAGTAGAGCAAAACACAAAGAGACAATATACTCTATTACTGTGCGTAAACGTGATTTTATCATACAAGTTCTAGTGTTAGCTCTTCCCTCTGCACGTCGATACTGATAAGCGAGTTTTCAAGTATTAACTGTGTGTATTTGCAAGCTAGGGATATGCTTATATCATAAAAGAGCTGCCCCTTATATGCAAGTGATATCGCTGAATTTTGCTCTGATAAAACAATAACTGCTGCATCACTATTCTGCGATATCCCTAATGCAGCTCTGTGCCTGGACCCCAACTGAGGTGGTATTTCTTTTTCCAACGACAGAGGAAGGAAGCAACCCGCAAACTCTATTCTGTCTCCCTTAAGAATAACGGCGCCATCATGCAGTAAAGTATTATGTGAGAAGATGCTTATAAGCAGTTCGCTACTCAATAGAGCATTCAGCTGTATCTTACTTGGTATAATCCCTTCTAAAGCTGCTTTCTTTCGAAAAATAATAATTGCTCCTCGCTTCATGTTTTTTAGTAGCTCTATGGATTTCTGTATTTTACTAAAATCAGGGAGTGTAATATTTCTACGTGACTGATTCATAAAGAATATCTGCTTTGTAATGGCCGCTCGTAGTTCAGGCTGAAATACTATAAGCGCCCCCAAAACTAAAATAAAAACCACGCTGTTTAAGAACCATAGCAAGGCTTGAAGGTTGAGCAAAAATGCAGCAGCGTATATTATAACAATACTAGCTACTCTTAGCAACAGAAGATTAGAGTGTATTGATTTAAGAAATGAGTAGATATAAAAAAATAAAAAGCTTAGGCTTAGCACATCGAGTGCTTGTATAAATATATTGTATATATCAAACTGAGCTATTTCACTAGACATTCTTGCCCCCAGTCGTACTCCTAGAAAATAATATAGGTACACATACCATTTTCACGCCAAATGCTTACATATGATATATAACGTAATATATGAATCGCAGGACAGTACACAGAACAACTTACAAAATGTTCATTTCGTAGCCTGCGACACTATGCGCCACAACCCAGTTACTTTTTCTTTTTATGTCTATTCTGTCTGAGTTTCTTCTTAAACTTATGCTTGGATATTTTTTTTCTTTTCCGTTTTCTACCGCAAGGCACGTTTTTTCCCCTTTATATATATCATCTTATTTACCTATACACCATACAACACAAGATGCATTCAAAAATTCTCTTTTTCCTGTTGTACCAATATCACACCTATGAATTAAGAACTAAGAGCATCGGTAGAACCAAGGAAGAATATATCATTGATATCCTTTCTATCTCCATGTGGAAATTCCATTGCTTGTAACTTTTCAGGAAGCGCACTCTTGTCATCAAGCACCCCTACAGCAAATGCAGCAAGTATAGTGTATTTTGTACTATCCACTTTAAGCTCTGTATACGCCTTATCATATTCTAAACCACTCATACCGTGCGTGTAGAGTCCTAGCTTTCTTGCTTGAAATGTTAGGGATGCCCAAGCAAAACCAGTGTCAAACGCTGCAGTTCTTTCAGCGGAACTTCCGTCATCAGCGTGCAACTTTGCAATGAAAAAGCCAAGCAAGGAGGCATTCTGTACCCATAACTGATTAAACTCGAACAAAAGTTTGATATATCTATTAAAATCTTCACTCCCATTCTCTGAAAGTATAACACGCCATGGCTGCATATTCATAGATGAAGGAGACCAACGTAAAGATTCTCCAAGAATTTCTACTACTTCTTTTTCTAGGCGATGCTGCTTAAACGCCCTAGGTGACCATCTTTGTGAAAAAAGCGGATCTATGTCTTTCCTTATATTTCTTCTGCTGTAATCAACAGTGTATGCATCAGTATTAATTAATGTTTTCTTTTTGTCCATTTTCTATATTATATCATAGATTCCTATTTCTATTGCGTATGCTTCCTTATGTACGTACAGTATGCGCTAAGCTATAGAGAGTACTACAGAGGCTCTCTACCTGCTGTGTATCTCCTAAATCACAGTGCTGGACTGCATGAAAACGAGCAAAGAAGCTTATCTGTCTTTTTGCGAATCTTCGTGTGTGCTTTTTTATAAGCTCCTTACTTTGCTCGGAATCTTCTTTACGCATTGCTTTATGAAGAGACCATGCCTTCACTATATCTTTGTTTGAAAGAAGCTCTTGAATTCCAATGGTTCGGTACACATTGTGAGACGAACGTATCCCTGAACTCCATAGGGTGTACGCCTCCTGAACGATACCCTGCTCCCACATCTTCTCTACCCTTTTATTTATTCTTTCATAGAGCTCCTGTCTACTTCGTAGAAGAGCAAATACATGTACAGGGCGTAATGTGTGTTCTTCTATCCGCTTGTAGCTGCTCAAGAGTCTTCCCCCATAACGTAGCACACCCAATGCTCTCAGTATTCTCTGTGTATCATTGGAGGATATGCTACATGCATACTCGGGGTCCCGGGTGCATAACTCAGAGTAAAGGTGGGGTAAGCCCTTGTTTGCATGCTCATCTACCAGCGCCTCGTGCAAGGCTCGCGGAATTTGAGGGCTTGTAGGTACCCCCCTCCATAAATGATAGAGGTAGTACGCTGTTCCTCCTATCACTATAGCTGTGTTACCCCTTGCTTGAATTTGCTTTAACAATGCTAGTGCTTGCGAACAAAACTGAAATACAGTATACGTATCTGTTATCTCAACAGTCTCCGATAAATGGTGCGGAACAAGCTTCTTGAGTGTAGCATCTGTCTGGGCACTGGCTATAGGAATTGATTTGTACACCTGCCGAGAATCTGCCACAATAAGTTCTATGGCATCGCCTGCTCCGTTAGCAGATTGCTGTTTCCAGTAGTTATATAATGTTTGTATAAACTCTGTCTTCCCAACACCAGTAGGACCAAAAAGCATGAACACTGGTTTTAGAAAGCGAGAACCTATATCCACGATAAATATAAGGTAGTATTTTAGCCCGCGAACTTATAAAGGACACAACTATGCATACGCATGCTCAATCTATTTTTAATTTATATACAACTTCTTTATTAAAAATTTCTCGGAATGCAATGCTTGTTGCTTTTTCGTTCCCAAACTCACTTTTATATTCTTTAGTAAGGGAGGAGCTCTGATCTTCTAGAGTTGTAGGGTTGTAGGCTGCGCGTATTTCTGTTATTTGCTTAGATCTTTTTATAACAGCAGATACTATTTCGTAGATATTGCCCTTGTAATTAATTAAATCATTCAATGGTATTGCCATACTTTTATTATGCTACGTATTGCCACTCTTGTCAATGTCTCTACTTGGACAACATGCTTTTTCAATGTGTATATAACATTGAATACCCGCGGATTGTGGTAGTTATAAAAACGTAGAACCTGATAAAAAGTATGTAGTGTATTGACGCGGCACCTGCTGTGCCGTATTCCTTGGCACTCCCCCCTCTTTGTTTTTTTTTTTTTTTTTTTGTAAGCTACCCGTGCTTTATGTTTCTTCCTTTTTCTTCATTTCTACGTTTGCATTAAAATTTGCTATAGGCAACACGATTGCGTTTATACCCACCTTTATAGAAATATACGTTATATATTCTCTCGTGTACGGATATATAACAGCTGGCGAATTATGTTCTGCAAAATAACTCCATTGACATCTCTCGATCACCAATTGTATTGCTTTTTTCTATCTTAAAAGAGCTACACCCAATATGCTTATAATTTGTTTTCTGTGTTCTTCTCTGATATAATAATTTTTTGTTGTACATGTAAAGATGTTATTTTTTCATCATATCCATAATTATTTTCCATGCTGAAATCTATATCAGGAGACTATTTAAGTTCTGGGGACCTGCTTACAGACGCCTCAGGAAAAGCATTGCTTTCAATTGTATCGTTACTTGCTTACTGTATCTATTTTTACTTGCTCATGCTACACCGCTATATTTCCTTTTGTGTACACTTCAGGAATATTCTCGATTACAGTATTAGGAAAAGCAGAAATATCGAAACTATTAACAGCACGCTACTTCGTAGTCTCTATCGTAGTCCCTGCGATATATTGGGGGTACACATAAGGATGCCCCCTTCTATATACTCTATCTATCGCACGTGTATCCAAAAGCTCCAAATCACTTGTGCCTAATATATATTGTTCCGGAAGAACATGCATATGTGATACATCAAAATTCCTCATGCACTCATCTATAATACCCATTATACCGCTCCTTGCTCATGGGCTTCACTTGTCGATTGTGATCGTATAAAATTCTTACACGATACAAAGCACTTACATTACTTAAACGAGGTGATATATTCTTACCTTCGCCTCTTTTTCTTATACATTGCAGAATTTTTTTACATAGATCAACAATATTCCCATGCGAAACTCTGAGATCATCGCTTTCATTTGTGCATTTACTCTAGTATATTAGCTCTTTCATTCTTTGATACAAAGAATAGTGCTATAGTATTCATAATACATGCATACTACCTATCCAGTTCTTTTTCTCGTATATAGCATACAAGACTCGTTTGCAATAAGATCTTTCTTTTAGCTTTAGCGTATGAAATTCTGAACGTGCTCCGTTACTATTATAATCAAACATATCTAAAATACATTTCATTTATAGCCTCTTGTATAAAATATACTGCTAGCCATTTACTGCACGATGTTAGCAATATGGATATTATGTATTTTCACTGTACAAGTTACTCTTATCTAGCGCTTTCCACTCTACACATAGATATTTCTGTTGCAAGAACTACTTGTACACAGCTCTACGGAGATAGTACAAGCATTTTAATGGATATCGCCTATTATTGTTTTATATGTATAACTTTCATTTTATTCTTAATAATATGCAATATTGTATGCAAAAGTACATAATTCACAAAGTTTTTCACTGTTCTCTATTGATTTGTATACATATTTATTACGTTTAAGGTATAATAACTATGTGGTACCTATTCTCATTTTGTGCGATGCTTCCTATGAGGTACCACATAATAAGTGCGGTGTTTTTAACACTGCACTTATTTCTCTATTCCTCCGCGTATAAACACTTTGCCTATATAACGCAAGATCTTGCTGACACGCCTTAGTAGTATGCACGAAAAGCATGTACGGTATTCTAGGTGTATTTTAGTGGGATGTGATGTGTAGTGATTTACGACTTTTATGGAAGCACTCAGCACTACACTGGAGCTACAAAGTTAGTGCTTGCGTCTAAATGCATGCATGCATGCCACTAACGCTTCCACATTCGCTAGGCTTACCGCATTATAGAGCGAAGCCCTACAGCCTCCTACAGAACGGTGTCCTCGTATACCTATAATCCCGTGTTCACCTGCCATAGCAATAAATTTATCTTCAAGATCAGTGCTAGGAAGTGTAAATACTACATTCATGTCCGAACGATACGCTTTTTTTACAGGACAGGTATAGAAACCGTTGCTACTATCCACCGCTTCGTAGAGTGCTTCTGCTTTCTTTTGGTTCATGCTCTCCACCGCTTCTAGGCCACCAATAGAGATAATGTGATCTAGCACTAATTTGAATACCCACACCGAAAATACGGGGGGGGTGTTGTACAGCGAATGAGCCGTTGCATGCTTCTTGTACGAGAGGTATGAGGGTAATGCTTCTTGGGATTGCGAAAGGAGATCTTTGCGAATAAGTAGCACGGTAAGCCCAGATGTTCCAATGTTTTTCTGTGCCCCTGCATAGATCAATCCATACGAAGCGAAGTTTCGCCTTCGACTTAATATATCACTGGACATGTCTGCAAGAACTGGTATGCTCGCATCTCTGAACTGAGGGTCCTCCTTCCACTGCAGTCCCTGTATAGTTTCGTTGCTTGTAATGTGCACATACGCACTGCTACTGTGTAGCTGTACGGTATGTGGTGCTGGGGTTATAGTATATTTTGCGTGCTCTGCATGACGAAAAACTTTCACCTCGGTTTTACCCTTTGCTACCTTTACTGCATCTTCATATGCTTTTTCTCCCCATGCACCAGTTACAATATAATCTGCCGTGCTCCCTGCACCCAGTAGGTTATACGCAAGCATAGCAAACTGCAGTGTTGCTCCACCAGAAAGTAAAAGCACCTGATACGAGTCATCAAGATCCAGTAACTGTAAGAATGTGTCTCTAGCCTGCTGATGCAAATCCTGATACATCGCTGACCTATGGCTAGCTTCTAAAAGAGAATAATGAGTACCGTTGTAATCGAGCAGTTCTTTTTGAGCTTTGAGTAGAACTTCCTTGTAGATCGCTGCTGGTCCAGGAGAAAAATTATGCACCATATATTGCGGTACCTGTCATAGTACCCTAGCCCTCAAAGAGAAGATCGGCCATGCTACGTAGGAGGGGAGATGCTTGATTATTGAGTACTGTATCTGTAAGCACCTTCCCTAGTTGCACCCCTTCCTGATCAAAAGAATTAATATTCCACAGAAAGCCCTGAAACATCACTTTATTCTCAAAATGAGACAGCAAGGCACCAAGTACAGATGGTAGCAATTTTTTTGCATAAAGAACACTTGCGGGCCTTCCTCCCTTAAATACCTTGTGAGGATTTTCACTTGCCTTTCCCATGGTAAATGCAATAATTTGTGCGGCAAGATTTGCAAGTAATTTTTTTTGACTTGTAGATGATGCGTATTCTATATCTCTGCCTATTTGGGATTGCGCAAAGGCTATGAATTGCAGTGGCACTATATCTGTACCCTGATGGAGGAGCTGATAAAAACTGTGCTGTCCATTGGTACCAGGTTCTCCAAAAATAACCGGGCCCGTACTGTAATTGAGAGCGGCTCCACTTCTGTTGCTCTGCTTGCCATTGCTTTCCATATCTAACTGCTGTAAATGTGCCGGAAAGCGGTGCAATGCCTGGCTGTAAGGAAGCACTGCCGTGTAGGGGTAGCCTAGAATGTTTCTTTCGTAGACACCTATTAAGGCATCGATAAGAGCAGGGTTACTCTCTACCCCTGCCTTGTATATAAGAGCATCCGCTGCATGCATGCCATCTAAAAATTGACTAGGAACTTCTTTTCCAAAGGCTAGAAACAGTATGCAAAGGCCCACTGCGCTGCTTACCGAATAGCGACCTCCTATATAATCGTCAATAAAAAAAGAATCTAGATATTCACTCGATTGAGCAAGCGGGCTACTTTCTGAAGTTACACAGACCATGTGTTTTTTTGGATCACGAATACCCCCTCTGCTAAGCCAATCCAATGCTAACGCTGCATTGGTGAGGGTTTCTTGTGTCGTCCCGCTTTTTGATACTAAAATAAACAGAGTGTGCTCTGGATCGGCATCTGCTAATTGAACAGCAGCATCATCGGGGTCTACATTACTGATAAATCCGACTTTTCTTCTTGTGGCATTGCCTTCAATGCTGTCTACATAGGGCTTAAGAGCTAGGTATATAGCTCTGGGGCCTAGATCTGAACCCCCTATCCCTATCTGAATGAACGTACGGAAGGGTTTCCCAGTACTCCCTGTTATCTGCTCGCTATGCACTTTCTCAGCAAAATCAGCACAGCGCTCTCGCTCTTCTCGGTAAAAAGCATGGTAATCTCTTCCGTCCTGTACCACTGCAGTATCAAGCTGACCGCGAAGTGCGTGATGCAAGACCATGCGCTTTTCGCCCGTATTCATTGTTTCACCATTTGCAAGTTTCGTAAACTTTTCCTTTACCTGCTGTTCTTGTGCCAATTCGAATAATAAGGATAGAATACTATCATCAACCTGCTTTGCTGCGTAGTTATATTGATATTCAGCACCTTTCACATTGTACTTTCGTATACGTTCCTCGCTGAAATGTTCAAAAGAAAACATATTGCACTTTTGCAAAGCCTTAAAGCGGGAACATTCTGTGAGATTCTTATATTCAACTGCCATACCTTAAGTATAGTATGTTGCTTACTTTGAGACAAGTACCACAATTCCTCTTAGTACGATACTGTATACTGTAGATATGGCTGACACTATTACCTCTATGGATGAGGATTTCTCAGAATGGTATATTGATCTTGTTCTCAAAGCTGAACTTGCAGACTATAGTCCAGTAAAAGGGTGTATGGTTATTCGCCCTCGTGGGTATGCACTGTGGGAGCACATGCGTGAAGCATTGGATGCTGAGTTTAAGAGGACAGGGCATAAAAATGCTTACTTTCCGCTGCTTATACCAGAGCACTTTATTGCAAAAGAGAAAGAGCATGTGGAGGGTTTTTCCCCTGAACTTGCTGTAGTTACCCATGCTGGAGCAGAAAAACTAGAACAACCTCTTGTTCTCCGCCCTACTTCCGAAACTATTATTTGGAGCATGTACAAGAAATGGATACATTCGTATCGAGATCTTCCCATACTTATAAATCAATGGGCCAATGTTATTCGCTGGGAAAAGCGGACTCGTCTTTTTCTAAGAACAACAGAATTTTTATGGCAGGAAGGACATACAGCACATCAAACACGCACAGAAGCTATAGAAGAGACACTCTGCATGCTTGGTATATATAGGGATTTTGCTGAGAAAGTGCTAGCTCTTCCTGTGCTTTCTGGCAAAAAAACAGAAGAAGAGAAATTTGCTGGTGCAGTAGACACATACGCTGTAGAAACCTTGCTCCAAGATGGGAAATCTTTGCAGGCTGGCACTTCACACTTTTTAGGTCAAAATTTTGCAAAGGCCTTTGACGTGCAGTTTCAAAATGAGCATTTGGAACTTGAATATGTGTGGGCGAGTTCTTGGGGGGTGTCAACCCGACTTATCGGTGCCGTTATTATGACCCATTCCGACAACAAGGGTTTAGTGCTTCCTCCGCGCATAGCACCCGAAGAGGCGGTGATTATACCAATATATAAGCAAGACAGCAAGGGAGTGGTACTGAGAAGAGTTATTGAGCTTAAATCACAATTACAGAAGCATTTTCGTATAGAATTAGACGACAGCGATACACAAAAACCTGGATGGAAATTTGCAGAATGGGAACTCAGAGGGACCCCAGTACGCATAGAGCTTGGACCACGAGATGTAGAACAGAACTGTGTAACGCTGGTATGTCGCGATAATGGTGAAAAACTACAGGTGACATATAATGAGTTAGAAAGCCGCCTATCCTCGCTTCTTGCAGAAATACAGAACCGTCTTTATAACAAGGCGCTTGCATTTCAAAAAGAACACTCACATCACCCAAGCACCTATAAAGAGTGCACAGAACTATTAAACGGTAAAATACCTGGCTATATTTTTGCACCATGGGATGGAACAAGAGAAACAGAAAAAGCAATAAAAGAAGAGACAAAGGCTACTATTCGCATAGTACTGGATACAGAGACTGCACATACGCAGTGTCTTTACAGCGGAAACCCAGCAAAGCACATGGCAGTCTTTGCAAAAGCATATTGATGCAGAAATTGGCTTCTCTTCCCTCATATACGCAGCGCTCACAATCGCACAATCGCAATGCACGTGCAAGAACAAGAGCGTAGCGCGCCTTAAGACACGCTACAATAAAGCACATTACGATAGAGAGCTATTTTGAGCAGTAAAGAAACGTTGAGTTATTCTTTGAAATTCTTCCTGATCGCTGCCTCTCATGCAAAGATCAATAATCATTCTTCCTAATGGATCTAGCTTATCATCTTCAAGATACTGGGTAAGCTCTTTCTTAAAGAAATCATTTATTTGCTTCGCCCCTATATCATAGGCCTCTACCCCTACCTCTACCTGCTCGTCTACTCTTAGCAAGCCTACAGGTATTGGTTTGTTGTTGAATTTAAGACACTCGGGAGTTCTGCCGAGCAATGGAAAACGTGAAGGAATAAGCTGTTCTTTTTTATAGCGAATCCCACCTCTTCTTGCAATGATTTCTCGTGATGTCCACTGAGCAGCAAATCCAACATGAAATGCTCCCACAAACTGATTAGGTATAAGGATAAATTTTGTTTCAAGGGTATCCTGTATTTGCCTTAGGAGTATGTTTGCTTGCTCTACCCTCGTTCCTATAGAGAAGGGCCAGTACGATCCTACCCCTTCGCTTACTAATCCCTTGCCAGCAGTGATAATACTAGGATTTGAATGCCCTCTAGGAGCAACAAGTCTCCACAACCATGCTAAAGGAGGATCAAGTATATGTAGCATACCGAGAATACCATAGGTGGGATTTTCTTTTGTGCATCGAGGGGTTCTTACACCAAAACTTCTTATATCCACTTCCAATGGCCCATTTACTATGTGCGGAATATCCTTTCGTGGAACCACAACCCTAGGATTAGGGCAGGGCGTGTCTGGAGCATCTAAGCTATGCTCCCAGAGCAGTGCTGTAGCCCCCCTTTTCCCATCAATGTTCAGAAATAAGAGTGGATCGGGAGGTGAAATACACAGCTCTTCTAACTGAGGGTCGGTGCCATAATGCGTAAGGTGATCTACTCTTAAAAACCACGCGTCCTCTGCATCTTGTACTACTAGCTTTGATCCGCTAATCTTAGAAGGGTGTGCCATTCCCATATCATCCGTAAGGGGGTACAGCGTACATAAATCGTGCATGTCTAGTAGTATTTCGTCGTTATTGCTGGGGTTCCTTGCGAGCACCAGCAAACCCTGCTTTGTGTGAGGGTACTGTGTCATCTCTGTTTTTCCGCCACCCGAGGCACCCTCATGCATAATAACTATTTCACATTCATATGGGGTAACAACTTTTACCGTAGAGCAGTGCAGGGTAGTCCATTGTTTAGACTCATATTCACCAATATTTAACAGCATGCTGTACACACCCTTCTTAGCACTGGGACCTGGATAAAGGTTATAAGAAAATACCTCGTGAACTCCGTCTCTTCTGTTATGCACTACTACTTGTTTGGTCTTAAAATGAGTATGCCTAAAAGGAGGGGCAACAAATACCATGCCTCTTGGTTTTATTTTTTCGGTTTCAAGTTCGTCGATAGAGATAAAGCCTTGCAAATCTGCCAATGCGAGCGCAAAAAATGCTGAATTTTTTGGTACTATCGCCAAGCAGTAATACTGAAATTCTGAAGCACCTGCATAGAAGGGAACCACATACAAAGGCTGAGTTTTGAGCCATTCAAATGTTTCAAGCCGAATAGCAGCGAAGTCCATTGAGAAACTATCCTTAAAAGTGGGTTTATTAGTAGGGAGGGTATCAGCAATAACCATGGCGTTTGGATCTCTTCTTCTCATGTTTACGTGTCATAGAAATTTACTGAAAGGCCGTTTTTGCACCGTATAACCGAAATCTCTTTGTACTTCTTCTTGTTGGGAAGATCAAATTCCACATCTATAACATCCTTACCATGAAAGATTTCATTAATTAATTCTCTGCGTGAGCGTATAAAATTGAGCTGGGGACTTCTCTTTAATATAGCAAGTACATCCGCACCCAGATCAAAGCAATTTTCTATTTTCTCTAAAGACATCTTACTCCTCCTTTATACTAAGCGCAACACTATTTTCTTGTTCTAAGGAAATGAGCAGCACTTACCATGTTTCTTAACGCCAAAGATACTTCTTCCCATTGCCGAGTTTTTAGCCCACAATCTGGGTTTACCCAGAGTTGCTCATCGTTAATGTACTTCCTTGCTAGTTGTAACAATTCTATCATTTCTTCTGTTGATGGTATGCGCGGTGAGTGTATATCGTATATTCCAGGTCCTATCTCGTTTGGGTAGCTATGCTCCTTAAACGCCTCTAGTAATTCCATATCACTTCGCGATGCTTCTATTGAAATAACATCGGCATCTAAGTCTATAATAGTGCGCATAATTTCATTGAATTCGGAATAGCACATATGAGTATGGATTTGGGTTGTATCTTCCACACCAGAACTCGCTACCCTAAAACTTTTTACCGCCCAGTCTAAGTACTCTGAGTGCTTTTCAGATTGGAGGGGAAGGCCTTCACGTAGAGCTGGTTCGTCTACCTGTATAATTCCTATTCCTTCCTTCTCTAAATCTTCTATTTCATCGCGTACAAGCAGGGCAATTTGAAATGCGGTTTCGGACCTTGGAATATCATTTCTTACAAACGACCATTGTAGAATGGTTACTGGGCCCGTTAACATACCTTTCATTGGTTTTTTTGTTAGCGATTGAGCAAAGGATATCCATTCCTTTGTTATTGAAGTTTTACGCTGTAGGTCACCATAAATGATAGGTGGTTTTACGCATCGACTGCCATAACTCTGTACCCAACCATTGCTGGTCGATACAAAACCATCGAAGCGCTCCCCAAAATATTCCACCATGTCATTGCGCTCGGGCTCCCCGTGCACTAGTACATCCAGCCCCACTTCTTCTTGGAAATCCACCACTTTGCGTATCTCCTCTCGCATGCTGTCTTGATACTCTTGATACGAAATACTCTGCTTCTTAAAAGCAGCACGAATCTTTCGTATCTCTGCTGTTTGGGGGTAACTCCCAATAGTTGTGGTAGGAAAGAGAGGGAGTTGTAAACGCTGCTTTTGCGTTTCTTTTCGTTCAGAATAGGGGCTTTTCCTTTTCATCATAGCTTCATCTATTTCTGATACTCTCTTCTTTACCTCCGCTCTATGCACCTGCGTGCTACGTTCTCTCCGCTGCATAGCTTCATCATACTGAGCAATGGATGTTGCTACTGATTCCGCGCCTTTGCTTAGAGCAGATGTAAGGAGTTGTATTTCTTCTACTTTCTGTAATGAAAATGAAAGCCACTCGGCTATTTCTGCATCTAGCTCTGTCTCGCCTCGCACATCAAATGGGCAATGAAGCAGGGAGCATGAGGAGCCTATGTAGCATCTCTGCAATGAGTGCTCTGAAAGAAATGCATTGAGCGTAGAAAGTAAGGAGGAAATGTGAGCTTTCCATATATTTCTCCCATCAATAACACCAAGTGATATAGCTTTACAGCGTTTCGCAATGTATTCTGCTGTTTCAAAGGAAGAGCGTTGCAGGTCTATGTGGATAATATCAACTGCAAGTTCGGTAACAAGGTCTGCATTTATTGCAAGATCGTCGAAGTAGCTCGCTAAGAATATCTCGATTCCCTTATATGCATCTTTTACGGTTTTGTATGCGGTTTTGTACGCTTCTTGCAATTCTTTACTTAGAGTATACACAAGGTATGGCTCATCGAATTGCACTGTTGCAATACCCTTTTCGGTGCAAAACTCTGCTATAGAACAATACGCCTCTAGCAGACGAGGGAGCAGATCAAGGACCTTGCTACCATCACTGCTTTTTCCTAATAGTAAAAAGGAGATAGGACCAAGCAATACTGGTCGTATCTTTGTGGTCGCCCCTTTTTCTTTGATAATCTGCGCTGCCTCTTCAATGCTGTGCCGTAGCTTCTGTATCATAAGCGTTGGATCAAATAGTGTATCACGGGTAAATTCTGGAATTATATAGTGATAATTTGTATCAAACCACTTACTCATCTCCATCGCCTTGGTATTGTGATTTGCCCCTCTTTCTCCTCGTGCCATAGCAAAATAAAGACGGATAAAGTCGTCTTGTAGTGGCTTATAGCGTGGGGGGATGGCTCCAAAACCCACTATGCTATCTAGAACATGGTCGTACAATGAAAAATCGTTAACAGGTATTTCACTTAGCCCTGAATCGATAAGCAAGGATACATGCTTTTGCCGTAATGCACTACTCTCTTGCATAAGACTCTGTGCATCTATCTCGTTTTTCCAATACGATTCAAGCATCCTTTTTAATTCCCGCCGTTGCCCCATGCGCGGAAATCCTAATATGGTTCCCATGATTGTTGTGTTGTGTGTATTCACTGCTCCTCCTTCTTTGCAGTTATAATGAGTGTTTCAAAATCTGGATATTCTCTATCACTTGCATCTGTGTCAATGGATATATATTGAAATGCACATTCTTTCAGCCAGCATTCTATGTCACCGCTATCAAAGCCTAAGTGCATATCCCCCAAGACCTCTTTTAGCCACAGCTCGCTATGTATTTTAAGATCTAGGATGATAAGTATACCTCCCAGCGATAGCACTCTATAGCTCTCTTTAATTGCAAGCTCTGGATTTTGTACGTGGTGTAAGGAATGAGAAAAAAGTATTACATCTTGCGAGGCATCACCAAGTGTAAGAAGCTCAGCTGATGATACTTGAAAATCTAGTGTATGATCCTTTGTTATATCCTTGTGTAGTTTTTTTGCAATTTTAATTTGCCTTTCGTTAATATCAATGCCAAGCACAGTATTTCTCAGAGAAAACTCTTTTGCTAAGGTACCGTTGCCACAGCCGATATCAAGTATTCTTTTTCCTTGTATACTTCTCATCAAAGCTATCGCAAGAGAGTGATCGGTCTGCCCTGGAGAGCGTTTGTTTTGAGATTCTACACCCTCGTAAAAAGAGAGTTTTGCTTCTTTCTTCTTCTGTAGTATCTTATTTATTTGAAGCACATCTCGTTCGTACCATTCTTCCTTACTTGCAATTTGTAACATAAGCTGAAGAGCCTCCTGCTGAGGCCCCTTGTCTACATTCAAACGATAAAAAATATACTTTCCTCTTCTTCTAGAGTGCACAAGATTACTGAGCTTTAAGTTAGTAAGGTACGAGGAAATAATTGATTGCCCTAGCTGTAGTATTTCCTGCAGATCCTGTACCGAGAATTCGTTTCCATGCAAGGCTACTAGTATACGTCTTCTCCTCGGCTCACTCAGTACCTTATAGATTTTATCGTACACTGTATTCATTAGTTCTAGTATAATACAAAAAGAATGTTACCATTATGTATTGGAATTTTAGGATACGGGGAGGTAGGCAGCTCTCTTGCACGCTACTTATTGCATAATAAAGCTGTACTTGCAGAGCGAACAAACTGCATTATAGACATAAAGAAAATATATTCCCGTACTACGAAAAAAATTATCGATTCTGGCGTCCCTGCTTCACTTATCGCAGATTCCTGGCAGGCTGTAGTAAACGATAGTAGTATATCATGCATTGTCGAGCTTATGGGTGGCACAGACACAGCATTGGAATGCATTAGCACCTCTCTTAGGTTGGGGAAGAATGTTGTTACAGCAAATAAAGCAGTGCTTGCAGAGCATGGTGCAAGTATATGGAATATTGCACGGAAACACAGTGCATGTATAGGCTTTGAGGCTAGCTGTGGTGGTGGAGTTCCTATCATCCGTGCTATTACCGATGGTCTTATTGCCAATAAAATTACATCCATCATTGCTGTATTAAATGGTAGCTGCAATTTTATCCTCTCTGAAATGGATCAAAAAAACATTCCATTTGACACAGCACTCGATACCGCAACTCAACTTGGTATGGTAGAAGCCGATCCAGCACTAGATATTGAGGGGAAAGACGCAGCACATAAAATTGCTATTATGTGTAGCTTAGCGTATAATAGCCGAATTGATTTTAGCACTCTACAACAAAAAGGGATTAGTGAAGTAGAAAACATAGACATGCAGCTAGGTAAAAAACTTGGGTACCGTATAAAACTTATTGCAGCTGGTATAGATCTAGGAAACGAACTGTGCATTTGGGTGCACCCTGCCTTCCTTCCACACACCCATCCTCTCGCCTCTATTGACGGACCATATAATGCAATTAGTGTGCATGGAAGCATGGTAGGAAACACACTATATTCGGGTAGAGGTGCGGGAGGAAGGGCCACTGCTAGTGCGATAGTCGCAGATCTCATATCAATAGCTAATGGAAGTACAAAACAAAATTTTAACAGCACAGTGCAGTGGGCAGATCTTAATACATATTCAAGGCAGGGGGATATGAAGCAATTTACATGTGCTGTGTACCTTCGTCTCTTTGTAGAAGACGAGCTAGGCGTACTCGCAAAAATCGCCGCTATTCTTGCTGATAACAACATAAGCATTGCTCGTGTGCTGCAAGAAGATTCCCCTCACAGTAGTAGTACTGATGGAAATGCGCATTACGGTAACTCGGGCTACGCTACCCTTATCGTTATTACACACCTTACACAATGGGGCAACATTGAAAGATCTAAGCAGGGAATAGAAGCGCTCACTCAAGTTCAATCACCTATTGCCATGTATCCTATCATAGAACAGATACAAGATTAGACACTCAGTACGCTTGAGCGCCCATAGTGTAGTATTATTAAATTAGAATAATGTTCGTACACTTAAACAATCATTCTGACTATAGTTTACGACACAGTCTCTCAGACATAGATAAAATGCTAGATAGGGTCGTAGAGATTGGGCAGGATACTATAGCCTTAACTGATGAGGGGAATTTATTTGCGGCAGTAGAATTTACCAAAAAATGCAAAGAGAAAGCAGTAAAACCCATCTTAGGATGCGAAATAAACATAGAATATGAAGGAGAGGAATTACATAAAAGAGATTCCACAAAAGCCCTACTCCTCGCTAAAGATAAAGACGGCTTCGAAAACCTAAAACATATAAGCACAGCTGGCTATCTTGAGCATTTTTATTACTGCCCCCGAGTGTATTTCAATGAACTAAAGGAACTCAGCAAGGGTCTTTATTGTATTTTTCCTCAAAGAAACAGCAGAATATCTAAGGCTCTTGAGCTAGGGCATATTGATACAGCCCGAAAAGAGATATACAATTACAAGAATCTTTTTGAAAACAATTTATTTCTTGAATTGCAGAATCATAATCTTACTATAGAAGAACAACTGAATGAGCAGATACTTCAATTAGGGAAGGACTGCTCTGTCCCTGTAGTTGCCGGCAATGCCTGCTACTATCCTCGAAAGGATGATTCGTATGCCCATCAAAATTTATATAGAAAATGAAAGAGATAACTCTCTCTACCTTCCTAACGACCAATTTTACATAAAGAGTAGGAAGGAAATGGAACTCTGCTTTCCTAAGCTAGGTCATGCACTTGATATGACGCTAGAAATTGCACAGTCTTGCAATTTTTTTATGGAATTTATTGGGCCACAACTTCCTGCATTTCCTGTGCCATCCGAGTTCGACTCCCCTACCGAGTACTTACGCCATCTCACCATGAAAGGTATACAAAAACGTTACTCAACTATGACTGAAGAAATTACCCAGAGAACTGAATACGAACTTGAGCATATTATAAACATGGATTTTGGTGGTTATTTTCTCATTATTTGGGACATGATTCAATACGCAAAAAGAAATAAGATTCCTGTGGGGCCTGGCAGGGGCTCTGTTGCTGGTTCTATAGTGGCATACGCACTTGAAATTACCTCTATAGACCCACTCAAGTACGGACTACTTTTTGAACGATTTCTTAACCCAGAAAGAATTAGTATGCCTGATATAGACATAGATTTCTGCGCAGAGCAGCGACAACGCGTTATTAACTATATAAAAGAACGCTACGGGCACGACCATTGTGGACAAATTATTACTTTTTCTTCTCTTAAACCAAAGGGGGCTATTCGAGACGTTGGGCGTGCATTAAAAATACCTCTTGGAGAAGTAGATGAGATAGCTCAATTATTGCCCGAGAAATGCACAAGCATTCAAGAAGCTAAAGCAACCGAGCCTAAACTAAAAAATTTTAATTCTAACACCCATGCACAGCTCTTTGAGATAACCGAAAAAATCTTAGGACTGAAGCGCCATGCATCCATACATGCAGCAGGTGTAGTTATTGGTGCATATAAGCTAACAAAATTTACCCCGCTGTATAAAGATCGTAAAACCAACTCTGTGGCCACCCAGTACTCTATGAGTCATCTAGAAGACAGCGGGCTAGTTAAAATGGATATTTTAGGACTAAAAGCAATGACTGTTATAAGTCACACCGAAAGACTTATACAAGAAAAAAATCCTCATTTTTCTATGGAGACAATAGAGCGAGATGACTCCGAGGTTTTTACAATGCTTAAAGAAGGTAGGAGTGATGCGGTGTTCCAGTTTGAAAGTGAGGGGATGCAAAGGATCTTGCGTGCGGTACAACCCGATCGCATTGAAGAGCTTATAGCACTAAATGCGTTGTATAGACCTGGACCTATAAAGCTTATTGAAAAATACACCAACATAAAGCACCAAAAAGAAAGACCTGAATACATACACCCCTTGATGATGCCTATACTGGAGGAAACCTATGGTGTTATAGTGTACCAAGAGCAGGTGCTCAAAATAGCACAAACTATAGCAGGGTTTTCACTTGCAAAAGCAGACATACTTCGTAAAGCCATGGGAAAAAAACAAAGAGATGTTATGGAAAAAATGAAGGTTGAATTTATACAAGGGGCTATGGAAAGGGGGACAAGCAAGGAGAAAACAGAAGAAATTTTTACTCTGCTTGAGCCATTTGCTGAATATGGATTTAACAAATCACACGCTACCGCGTATGCCGAGCTTGCGTACCAAACCGCCTACCTCAAATGTAAATACCCACTTGAATACATGTCTGCAACATTATTTTCTGAGCAAAATAAAACAGATGAGCTGTCTAAATCTCTTGAGCTTTGCAAGGCCATGGGGATCTCCGTTCTTTCGCCCGACATCAACAGCAGCGAGTACGCCTTTACTATTGAAGGCTCTGCGCTTAGATACGGCCTATGTGCAATCAAAAACCTCAGTGACGAAATAAAGCGTCATATACCTCAAGAAAGACACAGAAATGGTGTGTATAGTAGTATTTTTAATTTTCTTGAACGCCTTCCCGACAAAAACTCCATAAAAAAAGCCGTTGAAATTGGTATTCCTTGTGGTTTCTTTGATCCTTTTTTTGAGAACAGAGAACAACTATACGCAAACCGATTAGCACTTATTGATGAAGGAAAAACACGGCAAGAATCAAAACGAACACAGCAAAGCTTGCTTTTTACCCATATGGGTAGCGATAAAGATATACACACTCTTCTTACACAAAATGAAGAAAAAGAAGAAATTATGTTGCAACTAGAAAGAGAATACTTAAACTACTATTTTACATATCACCCTCTACAAAAAATACAAAGGGAGTGGAAGCTGCATACTTCAATTAATCTTGCGTATCTTGATACATATTCTCAACACTCAAAGACTTCAAATAATTACCACTATCTTATCGCATACACAGACTCTGTAAAAGTATACTACCAGCACAACAGGAACTCCAAAAACAGTAATAAAGGGAGTGAAGAACAAAGCATGCAAAGGGTTCTAAAGGGTATCTTGCATGACTACAATGGCTCCATATCCTTTGTGTGCTACACTAACCCGGAAGATGATACAAACATTCCCGAACGTAGAGCCTGCGGGTTTTATGGGAAGGTAGAAAATTGGAAAAATGAGTGTTTACTTAGAGTGCATAAAATAATGACAATAGAAGAATTAATACAAGCACAGAAAAATGACCCAAAACCAGTAAAAGGGCTAAGCGATGGTATATACAGAAATCTTACAATATATGTTTCTAGCAAAGCAGATGCTAAGGATTTACAAAACCTCAAAACTACATTGATGGAATATATTGGAAAAGCACAGGTACGTATATTCCTTGAACATGAAGACAAAAGCCGTACAGCGCTTATACCTCCTTCTGGATTTACCGTAGATGCTAATAACGAAGTTCTCCTGTCTACGCTGAACGATAACCCTATGATCACCCAGATACACCTCTAATGTCAGTTTTTTCTGATCTTGACACTCCACTCATAGCCCTTGCAAGCCTGAGCAAACTACAAAAAGAAAAACTTGAATTCAATGGGTTATATCTACTCAAAGACTTAGTGGGTTTTCTCCCCGTGGAATATGAGGAACGAGGTGCTTTAAGTACCCTTGATAGTATAAAAGATCCTAATGCATCTATCCTTATTGCAATTACCGTGCATGCACACAGTTATCTTCGCTTCAAAAACAAAGGGGCAGTGCTAAAAGTTTGCTTTCATGATAGCAAGGAAAATATTGGAGAACTTCATTGTTATGGGAGAGAATTTATTAAAGATGTGCTCCCTGTTGGTAGCCAGGCGTTGATATGGGGTAAATTTACTCGACCGAAGTACAGAAACACGGTATTATCCTCTAGTAAATTTGAAATCATTCGTGACAAGCGTAGAGTATACAGTATTGTTCCCCGCTACCGCACCCTCTCTAAGATCTCTCAGACTACATTTTATTCACTTATGCAAAAAACCATGCTTAGTTGTGATATTGCCCCGCTGCACAATTACACAGAGCATGCCCCACACAGCTCCATTACAAGAAAAGAAGCCATACAGTGTGTGCATTCCCCATCTTCCCTGCATGCTTTAGAACAAGCACGTGAGACATTGGCGTTTGATGAAACGTTACTATTCCAACTTTCTCTTGCTCTTCAGGCCAACAAGACCAAAGAAATTCGTACGAACATAAGAAAGCAAAGACCTGCCCTTGTGCAGGATCTACGCCAGGCGCTACCATTTTCTCTTACGCAGAGTCAGGTAAGTGTTATTGATGAAATACATAACGATTTATTCTCACAATACCCCATGAGAAGATTATTGCAAGGGGATGTGGGTTCGGGAAAAACCATTGTTGCCTTTATCACTGCTTTATCTGTACTTGAAAACGACGAGCAGGTAATCCTCGTAGTTCCATCAGAGGCGCTAGCCCAGCAACATTATAGACGGATAGCAGAGTACATGCAACTTCTAACAGAAAAACTCCCCACTCTACGGCTTCATTACGCCTTGCTTACTGGCTCTACAAGCAAAAAAGAACGTGAGCAGCTCTTCAAGCAGATAGAAAAACAGGAAATACAACTAGTCATAGGAACACATGCATTGTATTCATCGCATGTTGAGTATAAAAATCTTACATATATCATTATTGACGAGCAACATCGTTTTGGCGTAGAACAGAGAAAACTATTGCTAAACAAAGGAAAGCACTGCGATGTGCTCCTTATGTCTGCTACCCCAATCCCTCGCACTCTAGCACTTACCGTCTATTCTGACCTACATGTAAGTACGCTAAAAGAAAAACCAGGAATACAACACCCTCCAAGAAATAGAATAATCAGCTTGCAGAAAAGAGGGAAGATGTACCCTCACATTCTTCACTACTTACAAAAAGGAGAACAGGTATTCTGTGTATTCCCTCAAATTGGTTCATTAAATGAAAAAAAGGATATAGTACAGATGAGCTCCCTTCTTACCATGTATGATGAGATACAAAAACAACTCTCCCCTTATTCTGTCGCTTTGCTGCATTCCAAAATTCCATATAAAGAACAGCTAGAGACAATGAAGCTCTTTGAGCAGAAAAAAATATCCACCCTACTCTGCACCACAATAGTAGAGGTAGGCATTGACATACACAATGCTACGCTTATGTGTATTTTTAATGCAGAACGTTTTGGTCTGGCAACGTTGCACCAGCTACGGGGGAGGGTGGGACGAGGTACACTTCCAGGGGAGGTTATTTTCATATATAGCGAGCATATAAGCAACATAGCGAAAGAGCGCTTAGAGGTTATTTATAAAAACACAGATGGCTTTGAAATAGCAGAGAAAGATTTATTGCTTCGGGGGCCTGGCGATATAAATCATATCGGAACACGACAGTCGGGTTCATTGCTTTTTCAATTTCTTCATTCGCAGATAAACACAGACATTTTATTTCGTTCAAAAGAGTTGGCGCAGCACATTGTAGCTACTGACCCTGAATTAAAAAGAGCCTATACATGCAAAATTAAAAAAATACTACAGAGTTACGATGGGTTGATTTGAGATGCTCTGTGCTAAGAACACAGAATGCTAGCAACAAAGATGTAGGAGTTATAACATACGTATGAAACGCCTTGTGATCTCAGGTGGCATATTTGCTAAGCAAAGTAT